TTTACCATTGTATGTTGTTATTCTTTCCATATTTTTGTACTTAATTGAAGTTTTGTGTTTGCTTTTGAACTGTACATATATTGTTTAAATTTGATATAATATGGCTACCGCCACATTTTTTGGATAGACGCGGTGGCTGCTGGACTTAGTGTCACTTACTAGCTATTGTAATAGATACTCTACGGAGTAATTTAGTCCTGAAGAAACAAAAACATCGTAAGCCTCTGTATTTCCATTTTATAACAATATAGAGACGGTTTTCTCCTAGAAATTTTGGCCTTCTGATTTGGCTGCGACCTGGATCTAGGAGTATCGTACCGGTGTGTTTCTATTGGACGCGATTAGGACAGCCGCCGGCGAAATAAATTCTAACCACTAACTTTTGTTACCAGATTAAACAAACCATATTACACAACTATACCCTTACTACTTAAATCCAGTTTATTTCCTGAAATATAATTACTTCGTTGCCATTATATCCTAACGGGGAAGATAATATTTGGTGTCAATAGTAGTCGCTATCGTTTGATACATATATATGGCGAGTACAACCCTAAAAATTTTTTATTTTCTCCCTTAATATCCTGTCGAAGTAAATCATTTTCTCAATTCCATTGTTAGTGGATGAAATTAATACTTAACGATGTTATTACTCAGGAAAAGCTTTTCTAACGACACTTGAATAATCAATTTTCAAGAACTTTGGGATTCTACGTTCAGCACAAGGAAAGATCCATTTTCAATAAGTTTTGGAATTACCAGATCACTTTCCGAATAAAATCATGAATATTTCAAACTTTTGGAACTTTATATCGTAGAAATAAGATAGTGACAGTTTCAAGTGATTGTGAGAGGAATGGAAGATGCTTTCGTTTTATGGGCTTCCATGTCTAGTAGTAGTAAGCAAGTATATATTACAGTAAAAAGAGAAGATTTAGTAGGGTATATCGAAACACTGTCTTTAATCAGAGGATAATATGTTTTTAGGGAAGGTACTTCGTGTTTAAAAAATCTCCTCATTGCAAGAGAAAATTAGACTGACGTGAAAGATAACAATTTTCCAGTATATATAATTTTTATAGATCTAACTAGACCCTTCATCAGGGTGTCTCATCTAGAACTTAGGTCAGAACTGGAAAGTTTTGGAATTCATCAGGCTATTATGATCTAGATAAGTGATGGACGACGGGTATGGTTAAACGTGCCTTTATCGATGCGAGAATTTGTGAAGAGTGGAATTCATCTACCTACACTCCTTGGCCCTTTCCTCTTACATTACAGAAATGATTCGCCAACAGTATCAAAGTCATCTAATCTACTCTTTGTCGATGACATCAAGATTTGTAGATCCACACTCTGTAGGAGTAACAATCAGAAAAAACCTAAATCATCATGGGGTACCCTGGTTGCATAAGTCTCTCTAAAGCTTAACATCAGTGAAAATTAACACCTCAAAAGATGCCCGTTGAGTAAGATCATTTGTATAAGTCGGAATAAGAAGAAGTCTTAGTACTGTATGTATATTTATTTCGACAGTGGCCGTACCAATTGGTTCCAATAGAAGCACTCCTGTCCGCTTTTCCTAGTCCCGGGTCCCCACCAATTCGAAAAAGGACAATTTCTAGGAGAAAACGTCTCTGTATTATTTAGAAAAATGGAAATACAAAGCCTTACGGAAATTGTACTTCTTCCAGGGTAAAGTTACTCCGCAGAGTATCCGACACAATAACCAATAAGTGACACTAAGTCCAGCAGCCACTGCGTCCGTCCAAAAATGTGGCGGTAGCCATATTATATCAAATTTAAGCAATATATGTACAGTTCAGAAGCAAACACAAAAACTTCAATATAAGTACAAAATATAGAAAGAATAACAATATACAATGATAAAATCTCAAATTGGAATCAAATAAAACAGCGAAATGTCAACAGAAAAAGTCCGTCATATCATAGCAAAAATATGTAAACATGGAGGGATTTTCCAAAACACAAAACATTCAAAAAGAATTCTACACTGTATCCCGAGAGATCTAACCGGGACAATCTGTAGCACAAAAAAATGCAAAGTAAACCCTAACCTTAAATTTCATCAACTTAGATACGATTTAAACAAACATGTCAGTCGAAACTTGATACCAATCAGGTTAATGTTAATAGTGAGACCCGAACAACTATTCCTATCAAAGGCTTCAAAGAAACCGGGGGATATTATATCTACAGTACCCTTGAGATCAACGGTGGTGGTTCTCCTGTTCACCACAATTAACAGGTTATTGGTGCGGGAGTCACACTTTCCGAGAGTGTCTTATGGAGTGAAACATATATTCACATATATTCACGTCTATTGTAATCACGTGTAGATGTCACTAATATTTTCAGTTTGACAACGATTTTGTTCATAAAACCTTTAAAATTGAGAAAGCCCAAAACCAAGTCGAACCAGAAGTGAAGGTGGTAGAAGGAATATTTGAATGATGGTTACACTGTCAATAGTTACCTGAACTAAGCTTTCTATTTTATGCCAGGAGATGCGTTGTATGGCGCACCCCGCGGTAATCTGGCAGAGTTGCGCGACCGCGCACTTCCGGCTAAGGTGTGTGCAGTAAAATTAACGAGGTTCATAGTCACTGCCGAAGACTTACGGAAATGTTTATTTCGAGAGTTTATTTATCTGCAAATATGTGTTATGCTTCTAAGCCATTCGTTTTTGACGCTATTTCTCTGTCACCTGTTGCCAAGCCATTGACAAATAATAATTATTATTTATTCACAAATAACAACATTTTACAAGAGACATGCCAATTTGCAAGCAAGATCAAAATGTTAAGATTGCTAACATACTTTTTGTAAAACGTTGTTCAGTTACTGAAACATTTCATAAGATGCATTGGCTTCATATAGGTGGCTAAAATTTTCCACATAAAATTATAGATAGTTTTTTAGACCCTGAAATGTTCAATCCGATTAACTGGCCCGAGTTACGAGGGTCGCGTTACGGTGAACAGCTAATGGCGGCGAAACAATGCAAGGTAGAGCCAGGTCTGAATATAAAAAGAATTGATGAGATAAATGTGCTAAGATCTGGTTGATATTCTTCATATAATAAATTTACATGCACTTGGGTAAACAAGTTTTCGGCAAATACCCAGACTAATATTAAAGGATTGCAATAAGGTGTTGAAAAAGAGAAGCAAAGAGAAAGGGACGAGGAGCAGAATGGAAAATATTCTTGTTTAAAGCCAAACAATGACTCAGCAGATAATTTTTTAAATTAGAACACTAACTGTACACCTGCACTTACGTAGGCTAATGAAGACAAGTCACTAGTAAGATAACGAACGGACAATCAATCGTATGTATAGAGGAAATTCAGAAGGACCAAATTGTTAGCAACAATGTTCATTTACAGAATATAATAATGAGGCACAGTGACCTGGTACTTTTGTGATATTTACTCATTCTTTTTCTTTTTAACTATGTAGCCCAAGAAGTCATGAGTGAGCTCTTTTTCAGTATAATTGTCCAGATCTGCTTGTAATAGGATTTCTTGGTACCAAGTTAAAACCAGTGCAAGGCAACGAACATGAGCCATAGACGAGCTTGACAATGAAAAGTAACATCAATATCACTGACTGGTTACATCCTGCTATATCTTAAGGAGCCGTAAACAAACAAAATGTTCTGACCCACAGACGTGGGTAGATTGAAGTTATCGCCCCACTGTCATAAATTCTGGTCAGATACACCACCCTCCCTCCTTTTGTGAAATTAAGCTCTCTTAAGTTTAATGGTCGATTTTTTTAGTCTACGCTCTATTTTTTATAAACTTTCTCTACCAGCTCCACGTTTCAAGCAAACCAGACAATTTTGCCTTCTGTATGTAGGAAAAAATACCCACGTAGCATATCACACTGATTTTAAGTAGACTAATTGTAAAAATTGCAAGATATGTGTCAGTTAACAGGTAGTTTGGAGATAGGAAGGATAGGGAGCTGGAGAAAATAGGGTTGAAATAGTATTAAAAGTAATGGGTAAAGGGATAAATTGGTAAGAAGGCAAGGTATTTGGAAGTTAATGATTTGGGGAAATAAAAATCTTTTAAACTGTTAGTACTTAAACAAGAACGGACTCACAATGATACAGCAATTCTCAGTTCCTTGTAATTGAAAGTAGGTGAGTAGCATCTACAGGCTTTTTAATTTACCTGTGTACTAGTAATGAAAACTAAAACTGCTGTGAAGATAAGAAATTAGCGATTGGTATTTTAGTTTTAACAAAAGTCCAAGTGTCACGGATAGCACCTCAAAGGCGTAACCTCTTACTGTTAGTAACCACTTAAATCATATTCAATATGTTATTATAGTCCCATTCCAAACGTACTCGCCGATATTTCTGGAAAACTTACTGTTGATAATTACAGTTTGACCGGTCATCAGAGGAAATGATGTGGATACAGTTACATCATGAATAGCCTGCAGTATACAGCACAACAAGATGAATAAAGCCCAGATGATACTCATTATTGTCAGTAAATTCATTATGGGTTCAAGTAG